AATACACGACGGGTACTCCAGGTCAAGGTTTAAATGCCTTACCGCTGTACCAAGTGTTGCTCACGGCCCTTAATGGTATACTAATTAAAGCTTTAGTCTTTAACCACAATGTCCCGAGTTCTATCCCAAGTCAGGCTATTGCCATCTGATGAGTCTAAAGAAGGACAAAATCGGTCATAGGTTGTCAGTGTTGGCAGGAGCATCCCAACAAACGCTAGCAGCTGTTGCTATGACGTTTTTGACCTAATTTTTATTTCACAAGAGCTGATATGATTGTCGCGTTGGTCGAATTAGTGAACGGCTTCTCACCGATTCTTTACAAAGGTTCAGTTCAGTGGTTGGTCGCTGTTACTTCCAGAGAGAGGCTTCGCATTTTTGGGTGCAAAACGCAGCCTAAAGTGATTGACAACCAGTGCTAGCGGACCGGTACCGCTTGCTGGATTTGAAATTGTCACACATTATTGTTTTTTCTTTGGTGCGTTTCAACCTGTTCAGTCACTGACCTCGTATAATCTTGACTACCCATAAATGAATTCTGATGAACGTAGTCCCAGTAACCAACAAACAAATTAAAATGGCGAAGGTAACAGTGGACCTTATTGTTTCCTCGCTGTAGACACTGAGCAGAAACAACATTTTGCTCTACGCCATTGGTCCACCCGAACTACGCGTGTGAAAAGGAATTTGTTGGCAAACCTTTGAAAATCAGACATTCTAAACGGTAAATGGATCACCTGAAGCTTAGGTACAATTGAGGGTGGCGAGCAAGACTATGGTAGGTCGTCCTTAGTAATGGCAGTACTCAAATTAGTGACGTATGATGTATGTGTGCTAAGCGCAGCTTCGCTTTAGAGGAAACTCTATCTTCTCTTCGTAGTGCTATCTGTTCGTGTTGACCAACTTAATTAGCGTGACCAGGCAATGGGCCGTTCAATATTGATTTCTCGCTGCTAACTGTGCAGCGCTTCTCACACGCGCGTGCAATTATTATTTTGTAAAGCCGTACCATCAATCAGGTCGATTGATGGAACCATTTTGCATTCCACCAGAGGCAAATGCCAAGCCATTTGCTGGAAAATTGAGTTCCATATAAACAGTAGGATTTTATGGTTGTAAATCAGTTTCGATTGCGGTCCAGTTTAAGTTTTGACGGTTAGGAGGTCTTAAATGACGCTCTTCTACAAATCAAATCGCCGATGATTGTATTCTTCAGAAGAAGAACTACAGAGGACAGCAACTTCGCGTTAATGGTATCAAGCTATGTCCTCTACGACCACTGCCTTCTAAATGTACAGCAAATGTCTCATACTTAACGGAGCATCCTGGGTTCTCGATTTAACTAGCGATGCCGTCATCGTTTTCGTCCGTCTAGAAAATTACTTCGGGATATACCCATCATTTCTGATGCCGTCAGCGTAACCGACGAAGTAGTCTTCACTGCTGAAGCTGGGGCTATATGGGCAGTAGGACTCGAGCCACTTTAACGTCACATGCCCATCAGAACCATAGTCCCGATATTGTACGTCCTTTTCAATAGCACAGTATACATTCCGCGTTACTTCTCATCTGCTGAAAACGCTTGCACGGCTAATTCAATGAAACTTAACTTGCTCTAGTTTGCTCTCATTTGATCGCGTCCGTGAGACCGACTTCCAGTTGCTGCCGATAGCCGCTGGATTTGCGTGCTGAACAATAGACCTGTTTCTGTTTCAAATGTGGCTTAGGTGCAATTAATAACAACTGGATGAAATGATCTACTATGGAGGTGGCGCAAAAAGCGTGAAGCACAAGTAGCAATCGGTCAACGTTGCATTCTTTAGACAAACATCCTAATCGAACGACCCAGTCGACGTGGGATTGATATGTTTAGTCAAGTGACGGTACTACCTTGTTCAGGGTCACAAGCCATACTGAAAAGCTAGTACACAGAGTAAAGTTCCTTAGTTGTATACGAGTTCGCCTCATCCGAATCCACCAATTATAGCACTTTTTATCTAAGACATACGGTCACTGAAATTTCGACACCGTGTAGCTTCGGTTTAGTCATACCGTGATTATGGTTTCCAGAGACGAAAATTGCGGGTCGCCCATCACAAGGTTGTTCCTCCGTCAATCGACTTGTTCATGAAGGTTAAACACAGTACTACGCGTGTATCAGAAAGGCAGATCCATCGACTAAACCGTGAACAGCTGTGGTTTAATATCAGGTTTGAGCCAACTTCACACAGCTTTTCAAATTACGCCTTTGTAAACATAGTTCACACACATTTGGAAGTCCCAAGTGAGCAATTGGTTTGTCTGATATTACAAAGTTGGAGAAATGTGGGGAGGAAATTACTTGAAATACTTGCAGCTCGAGTGATTTCGTTAATTGAAGCAGAGTTCATCGAACTGAGCTATATCATTTTTCAAATTGCCATTATTAGTTAGTAATATTGATATATTTGCAGCAGGTTGTGGAAGGCGTGTACAAGAACAGATTTCATCAGCTCTGTTTCGTCTAATTCTTCAACTGTGCTTGGCTGATTTCCATAGACTTCACTAAGTTCGTTGCTAGGATTCTTCCACTTTGATAGGAGAAAATAATTTGGGCTAGCATTCTGGGATCAAATGGGCTGTTCCGTTCGTTATCGGGGTGGCTGAATGATTCTTTTAAAACGGCGGTTCCTAGTTAACCTAAGTTCCATATGTCTCAGTTGTAAGCATACTGCAAGAATAGCTTGTGGAGAAACAGGCTCGTAAAATATTCTTCCAGTTTTATGCTTTGCATTGTTTTGGGGCTGCTGTCTTTTCCCAGTCGGTGCTGTGCCCCTATTCGTTCACGCGTGCTAGAACCAGTGAGGTTTCATGATTTTTATTGCTTATTCTTTCACTTCCCTGTATCCTTATTGATAACTACCCTTTGTAATTCTATGGGTCATGCAGAAAATTATCCAAAATTGTGTATGGAGCGTTGCTATCCACCGACAAGGTATTTAAGGAACCTGCATACTTCGTTTTCTATACTGGTGATGGGTGCTCTGGGAGGCGGCACGGATGGTTGTAACTATATGTCATTTCCGCATAAATAAATATATTCTTAGATTAACTTTCAAGCGATATAAGGCCCCATGGTAGTCTATGGAGTTATATGATGTTCATGTCTCATGCCCTGTAGCATGATTTTGTTTAATTGATAGAATTTATATAAAGTTCTGTTTATTTGTTTGTTAGCTACGATGTTAGATCCTTTACAATCATTGGTATTGTGACGTATCGGCCAGCAGCTGTCTTTTTTACTCAATGTAATCTATTTTATATATTTGGACTACCATTTGTCCCACATCTTCATATAAAGTGATGGTTGATTCGTCAGATTTAAGCATCTTTTGGAATTCTCTTTCCGGGATAGAATATCGTACGATTTTGCGAAATTCTGGGTCAGATTATGGGTTTTCTTACTGTTTTTAAAAGCAGTAGTAGGGTGCTTAACAAATGAACAGTAGCGTCGTTACGGTGAGCATAGCGTGCGATAGTTTATCCCAATGTACATACATGTATTACATAGATTGGACTGCGAGTTTGTTGTACGTTTTAAAGCTCTGTATTCGCTAAGGTAACTGAAGTATAGAACAACTGAAGCTGCGATTAATGAAAAAATACCACGCATGCAATTAGATTTTATTCGAGTATTTCGGTACCTGCTTACACTTTATGTCTTTTGGAGCAGACTATACATTTCTTCATAATGCAGTAAGCCATAGAGTCTTAGAATATAGTCCATTTTGAGATTGCATGTTTCAATCGAACCACAAGATTGATGCTGATAAAACCAACACTGAAGTCTCAACCACCCCAACAAAAGCTGACGGCAGACTTTAGTGTACCTGGCGATACGGAAGTCACCCGTCAACCACTAAATTTCTATTTATACACATTGCTAATATGTAGCTCAAGAGTACAAGTAAAAAAGAGGCCAGTTGTCGAGTATAGCGTTGGAAGTAAGACAACGATAGACTCCTTGATTTCGAAACATTTCTGATGATCGGAATGCTCGTGCTTTACTTTATCTTAACGTGTACTCCAAAGTGCAGTGGCGTAAAGTAATCCTAACACAGAGAAAGCACTACCAAGCTAAAAATAATTTATATCTTTTTATTTATCACGGAGCGCGTGAACTAAATTGCAACGAATATGACTGGATAGCCATGACCCGCTAAGGTCTATTTCGACCACCTAGATTCGAAAAGGTAAACAGAAGCAGAAACACTGCAAGAATTTGCTTTCGTAACCAAAGAACACGAATAATGTCCGTATTTTGTATTACACTTCAATAGCAACATAAACGCTGTTTTATCCCAAAATCCTTCTAATTCGAGCATTTTTCACTGCATGTATTTTAAGAATACTTAAGATACTTCTAATCGTCTTGGTCGTTGTGAGTACTTCACGCTGCGCTACCCTTCTTATCCAGTGTGGAGCATGGAAATGCGGGTGAAAATATTCTAGGGTCTATCATGAATGGAAGCAGGTTACCTGGTGACGGCTCCACGGCTGGTCGTGCTACTTCACTTAAACCTCGGGATTTAGCCGCGTTCATTACTTATTACTCTTATTAATTTCAAGCTCTCAGGCTTCTTGTAAGATTACACAGATCAAACAGCTACCAAATAGTTTGGGAACTGCTCAGAAAGAAAATCGAAAAAATATCGTCCATCTCATACGAGCACATTGTACGTAATGATGAGACCCATCATTTGGACTGTGTCTCGCACCGTCTTGCGATATATCGTTTATTCATCTATTTACTCAGTCGTATGGCACCGTTAGCAGTTTATTTGAGATGACTAAGTTACATGTTAAAATTTTCAATTTCTCTCGAGATATTTATTAACAGCAATATGTTTCCTACCGTAAAAACTTATATCTTCTGTTGCGAGACTTTTCTATCGTAAACATCGGTTAACACAGTTTGCATTAAGAGAAAACAAAATAAGGTGATCCATTTACCGGTCACTCACGTTTAAGTTTGTCTCCAAAGATACTCTTCGCAACCGCCGTGCTCCCAAATTCCCTAAACCGGGTGACCACTGTGTCGTAGAACCAGTTGCAACGCATTGCGCGATATCCCCTAAAAAATAATTCATTGACATAAAGCTGATGTGAATTCATTGGGTGAATGCATCTATTTTTCCGTCAGCACAGTTGCTAAAAGCGAAGGTATTCTTTCACAGTTAAAGCAGTGCAGGAATATGAGGGCACGTACTGCAGCAATATTTTGTCTGTCCGATGAACACTATATTATTTTGCAGCGATCTGGTTAGTCAGTTCATAAGGAAAAACGGCGGGTTAGCTTCTGTATATAGTCCTATTCCAAGTCATCGACCGACCTACTGAAACTAAGTTAAAACGGAAAAGCCAACACAACATAAGACGATGCTTTAAACAACACCGTCTGGTAGGACCGATGAAGCAAGCTAACTTGCAGAACTATCTTATGCCGCAAATGCATGTTTAATAATCTTTATAAGCAGCTGCTTTAGATGTCATCCGATGCACTGCTGCACTAGTCATGTCTGTCTCAAGCATCGCGGTTGCTCTCTGGTGTCAGTAACTCATTGGTGCGAAAAGAGTAGGTTTTAAAGCAAAAAAAGGTCGTGAATATTGGTACCTGCTTGCTAATCGGTATTACTTGGTTGTCTGAAATTTATGTTCCCAAGGAAGTGCTACAGCCCTGCACCGTGGACAAATTAACAAGGTCAACTAGATATAACAAATATAAATCAGCTTTATTATATTCACGTCAGAAATAACAAAACGCCTGGCGTAAACCCACTGTGAGATGGCATAACTATAGCTAAGTGTGACGGCGATGCGGACCTTTTGTCAAATGTGTTTGGAAAATGTCCCCGAACGGATGGTGGCACTGTGACTTAATGAATAGCGAATTCATATGTTACCACTTGTTGTGGCTTCTAGATAGATTTGCCAACGTGTTAGCCCTGCTCATGTATAGCGACGAACGTGCTATACAAATTAATATTGGAAATTAATATGAAATTGTCAACTTGCAAGTCGCTTTTTTCTTTAAAATCGGCCCAAATGAGCAGCCAGGCCAAAATATTTGAAATTAAGTCGCCCAAACTGTTTCCAAATCAACAATTTTAGCAATGCACTTGCGAATATGATTATCCCATGTAGAAACAAGTGTTACTGCTAAAAAGCTTAAATGGCAGTGCATGATTGTTAAATGAGTGGTCAAGTATTCCCTAAAATTTATACGTACTCGTATTTGCAATAAAAAGGTCGGTAAAAGAAGTAGCTTTGAAATCTAGTAAACATTTCTTTTCAGGACAGAAAGTTCCAGCTTTGGTTCACGCGAGCCATCACGGTAGATAGTTCGTCATGGAATGGTCGTGCAAGTGTTCGTCCTTCCATGCCACCAGTCAAACGGTAGGGATGTTTGCGTAGGTGGTCATCTCCTCAAGTAACAAAACGTATAGTGACAGCTTTCACTTACATTTGCATTTGTTTGGAAGGGTAAGGTGCAACGCAGTTATGTACCTAAGTTTGACCTTTCTTCCTGAGGTTCTAGTTAAATTTTAATAGCGCAAGCGTAACAAGTACTAGATTTTAGATATCACTCCACTTAGATATGTCCGTAGGATTACCAAATCAATTTTAAGTGATATTTTTTATAAACTGCGGTAGAAATATTAGTGCCTCTATGGTTGCATGCATTGACACTTCGTGTTGGTCATATCAGCAACATTAACATTCTTTTGTACCAATAGCTTTGTACCATGTGCCAAAAGAATAAAACAAAGTCTGAGTTTTCCCATCCCGTTTTCTTGCTGAATTCATTAGGCCATACACGGCATTTGGAAAACCAGAATCGGACAAAGCTGAAGAAACTAACTGGCCTTTGTTGTTGACCTCATTATGTTGAATTCCCATGCCAGTACAAATATGCTTTCTATGAAACGCACCGAGTCAACCCGCTTGTAAACGTAAGAAAGATATCTTTTTGTTCTGTTTGTGAGTTCTGGGTACGTTAGTGAAATGGCCCGTCCGGTAACAGTCAAAGTTTCGCTTTTCTTCCATCTACAACGCTGCAAGTCAGCCGACCGGTATTCGACTTGAATAACTTCACCGTCTACTGGAACGTTTAACTTCACTTACCCAAAAGAAGAAAGAGCGGCATCATCAATACGTTAATTAGGGGCGCTAGCAGTTTGCCGGTGTCCACACACACTGGAAACCGCGACTTTTGGACTAAGGAGCCTTATGCCCATCGGCCACCGGCCGACTCCAGCTTCAAGTGAGGAGCAACTCAAGTTATGGAAATCAGGCATCCCGCGCAGCGCACATCATATCCAGCTGCTTTATTCTGAAATGCGTCTGCACCTACACAAGATATATTCGCGGTCTACGCCATGTTAGAACCCTGGAGTAATTCCGGAAACTCATTTTTCATCTCAAATGAAGTAAGATAATTCAATTAAGTGACTAATACACTAATGCAATGCGAATATTTGTAAATGCACTACTGTGCAAATACAACTAATATTTGGGGGGTAAAATTTCCCATAAATAGTAGCTCTAATATAGTGAACGTGATCTGATAGGTTTCTTTAGTTGTCGTAATTACAGAGGTCGTGAAAAGTTTCTTCTGGTAAAGAAACAAACACCTAAAATTTTACCGAATGTCAAGTCAAGTTACAAGCACTGATAGTCTTGTGCTCGAGCCTGCTGAGTACTATTGGTATCGAATCAGGTTTCTTGTTCTTCTGGTGGTAAAAGGATCAATGGGCATTGGTGCGGACTTTTGTTACCGTAAACATATATAAACGCAACCATTTTCCATACATTTATGTTTGCATTGTTACTTAATATTTTTTGTGTGGTGTCAATAAATCCAGGTAGCCAATTTCAGGACCAGGCAAAGATTATAATGGCATACTCATCGAACCCGGGAATATTGTCGGTCAGCCCCAGAGACAGCGCGGTAGAGCAAAAGCAAGGAAGAAAAGCGGATTGAAGATGTTGTAAGCATGAAAAAACTATGTTGGAAAATGTAGAAAGTTCAAACGAAAACATGAGAAATTGTTGTACCGTTCTAAAATACATTTTGTGCTTTCATATGTTATTCTCGGTAAGATATATGTCTCATACATATTAAAATTTAGCAATGAGCGGACAAACTTCAGTTAGTACTTCCGCAGTGTAGAAGTGGTGTTAGCTAAAAGTATTTTCTTAATGCGCTTTTACTCAAGAAATGCTGCAAGTTGTATCGCTCAAGATAGAAACTGTCACAGTAAACTGTGCACAACCAATGGTCGAGCGGGTCTAAAAAGCTTAGAGCATGGATGAGGTAATTACAAATAACACGTTCAACAAGCATTTTCCGGCAAACCTTGGTTAAAAAATTTATTCTCCGAATACTGAAATTTCGCCCACATACAGTGCATGTGCGATGTGAGTCGACTTGGTAGAGTCATGTATTGGTCAAGTACGTGTTAAACTGCCTTGTCAACATAGAACACAAAACTGTTTACGCAGTATGTTCCCATAACTATTGCAATACTGACGTCTTTATTTCAAACCAGAGAAAATGTGCGGATAGGATGAAGTATAGTCCTTGGAGACAAAGACTTTAACTACTATTAAATTTGCAAGCACACTATGCAAGTACTTGTGCTACGGCTTGGTAAGGCGGCAACTTACTTCAGAGAAGTGACTTAAATTACTGCGTACATGTTTCAGAATATTTAAACATGGCAAAAGCACTGAATACTAAGGAAATACAGAATGTATGGTGGAAAAACTTAGACTAGACATGAAAGTATGAAGGGCTGGGCATTAGAAATATGTATCATTAAACGTCTATGACTTTTTGCTTGCTTCAAACGCAAGGCAATGGCGACAATTCCAGAATGACTATGTTCACATAATAATAGGTGTGGGGGTTGAAAAAGTGAACATTTTTTTGTTAGTTCAGCATCGGTTGTAGTCTCGTTATATCAGGCTTTGATTTCGATTCTGAAGGCGCTTGCCTGCACATGTCTCAATCACAGTGCAGTACAACCCACGTCAAAACGCTCTAAATTAATTATTAAGAGAATACCGTCAAGCTTATCATTATGCACCCAACACTGCTGCTTACTGCATGTAGTGGAAGCACCAGAACATGATTTTTTGAAATCATTGCTGATTAAACTCGCCCACTGAACAATAAAGGTTACTCACAAATATTTAATTCAAAATTCGGAGTGTCTTTAGTAAGTCCATAATGTTGTTAATACCACAACGAAAACAAAGGTAATGGGATATTGTTTTCGAGCGGACCAAATCTATCATATAGAGAGTAAACATCACGGCCTTGTCTACGCTTGATCTCTTGCGTTTTAAGATCAACTCCAAACATCCACTCTGAAAAGAAATATAAGATATTCTTTCAGGCCACTGCGTATTTTCCTCGTTCCGAGGAGGAAGAAGGGCCAAATTATCAGTAGTATCTATACCTCGCTGGGCCTAGATGAGGGCAGGGCAAAGCCATGTAGCGTGTTTGAGCAGGAGTAACATGCAGAATACACAGACTAATTTACCTTGTTGTTTATGGATATAACAAACCCTTTTTACAACATAACAGGAAACGGACTTGTCGATTCAAATCCTGCTCCAAAGAGAACACAACGTATTGTACGGAGAAACTTGGACAAGAAACCGATTATAAGTGAATTTATGTGCGATCAACTGCTGCACGTTTCTGTATACCTTGTTCAGGCCTCACCTATGATTACTTTCATGTCAAGATCAATGATAGGAAATCGCAGTGACTGATAAAACAATGCCGTGATTTCTTAGGGTAGCAGAGATATAGGTGAACAAAAGGAAATTGAACGCGAGTTTATAGTTAGAACTACGAAAATATCTTTAAGTTAAAAATTCAGTCACTGAGCGCATGCTTAAATTAATTTCTCTAAAAGGGTCAAAAATTTAGTACTCAGTTAGTGTCGTTAGTGTAAAACTTAAAAGTTTGGGAGAAAAGAGTGATATCGAAAAGTTTTTCTAGTGTAAACTTGGGAGCGCTGGACAATACCGACCGTATTCGAACAGTTTTGCTCCTATTGAAGAACTTCTTTTATCGGGACATCATGCAACATCAGTCACTAGATATGCAAAACGCTTAAGCGCTTTCCGTTTGACCGGCGGAGTGAGAAAGAGCATCATTCACCAATTCTCAACGCAACAATTAAACTTTAAATCATCTGCGGCCGACATCATAATCAGTATGTCGCGGGAACAGGTAAACGTATGCTCGATGGAGTCACATCCAAAGCTAGTATTCACTGAGCTGATATCACATATATCCTGGCTCAAGGTTTAGAAAATATTGGACACCGCACTGAACTTTACTTATCTTGACTGTTAATGTGGCGGTGGTTCCATTAACTAGTAAAATATCATAACTAACCACGGTGTTTGAAACAGTCACAGAAGAATAGCCTCAATTCCTCCTGATTGCAGTGTTATTGAATAATCAAGAGCACTCACGTTTCTTTGAGACAAAGTTTGCATAAAACACCACCGATTTCATTCACAGCTTCAGAACATCTTCGGCAAATGGGTCGGTTGCAATTGGCGCACATTACTCTGGGATTAAGTAGTATGATGAATTTCTGTCCACAAAGGAGGCAGTGGGAACTTTCAGCTAGCTCTTGACATCTAGACGCTACTTCTCTATCGCGTCGTAGAAGGCTCGATCGGAAGCGTCTGTAGAGACAAACACAGATCCGAAAGCATCCTGACATAAATTACTGAGAATTTTTCACTCTAGACTTGGTCAGTCAACAAAATATCATGCACTTGATGAGTCACAGAAACGAAAAACATAAAACAAAAGGTTCGATTGTCGGAAAAGAAAAAGTATGTTTGCGGACTCATCTTAAATTGCACATGTGCACGCAGTTTGCTTACGTCATGTTGCGTCCCTATAACTTGGATTAAAACATTTAATGTGAGTTGAACTCTGAATTTGGTTAACTAAGAATCGGCAATGTTAGAGCTTGCAGAAACATACGTTGGCTAGAACACTCGAAAAGAGAAATCGTCTCCGCGACATTTGAGCCAGTTACACTGCATGTTCGACTTCCAACGATTGCCCCAATCTATGATGTGTTTGTTGTCATAAGTGACAACCTGCGTCGCCTTGACAATTGATTATTTTATTTACCAATATCTGATCGTCCCGTAGACAATGATATTATCCAGTGAAAATCCTAACTCCTTCAGTTCAACTTGCTAAGGGCGATGGAGTAAGTGCTCAACGTGTTTAGTCTCCCTTCGCTGTGGAGTCGCAAGAGCGCTAAAGTCAAGTCATTGCTGTGAGTGCCAGACCGGGGTGGCTTATTCCACATGTGACTTCACATACTGGTGGATAAATATGGAAAAATAGGAAGAAGCAAACTAACTAAAGATCTAACGCACAAAGGGCAGGTATTATCTAGATATACTCGTTACTTTTTTAAATTTTGTTCATCAACCGTGATCGTTTTATGCGCTCTCTTCTCGAACGCTTTCAATCAAAGCATGTTGAAAAATCTTCGCTAGCTCATGCTCGTAGATGATCTAGTGAGGTATGCTTAATATGTTACGTTTGACAGAGGTTAACTAGCGCAATCTGAGGTGAAAATTTCTAGGTCTCCTTGAGGATGCGTTACGCTGCTGGGTTTTAGTTTCCTGACGGCATCTTAGAGGTTGAGGTTGTTAACAAGGCGTAGCACTTCCATGAATACCAGGAATAGCCACGGTCCTAATACCGAGGCTTGCCGAAAGACACAAGGCATTTCTACCGGGTCAGATAGGGTGCTATAAGCTCACACGCTCAGGTGATGTTGAAGGAGGGAAGCACATCTCTAGGCTAGGATAAGCTTGCGGATCCAATAATTCTCAAAGTAATGAAATACATGCGATTATACAGATAGTAAAAAGCCTTGGAGAAATCAATGTAGGCAGCGTAAAATTCACCATAGAGAAGTCTGAGTGCATGAGAACTTTTGCCAGAAGGCAGACTGTCCCAAATGATAACGTGGTATGTTCTGTATTGTTTGTATGTATGTATGCGTGTATGTATTTGCTGGATAAATTTCACGCCACTTTATTTGGTCTGTTCTGCCTACCTGAATAATCTTCTATTAACTGGCCACGTTGCTTACGTTAATTGCGCTTATCTTCGGTAATTTTATTGCGTTTGTAGCATTTTAAGTAACTTGTGGACATTTCTTACTTATCGCGGATTTGTTGCTAACCAACTTACTTCATATGGTAATTTAGGGAAGAGTTATGCCACCGTATCTGTATGCATTATTGGATTTATTTTATTTCAGCTTGTCGTTTAAAGTGAATGGCTGTTGCTTGATATCCCAGGTGTGGCTGCGCTTGATGTGCATGTTGACAAGGTGCCTACCTGTCTATTACCCACTACATCGTTCATACTGGCTCCAGGAGACAGTTGGTCGTTGCTGGAGGGGAAGGGGTGCATGGTCCTTGTGGCCGTGCTAGGCTCAAAGAGCGGTTCCATGTACTCAGTGTGGAGCGGACTACGGTCCAGCCACCGCCTTGTGTGTGCGCTTGATTCCCCAATTACAGCATGCTTGTGTTTGCCTGTGAAGGAGTGTGGACCGGCTCCGTTGATGAAACGTGGCTCCCATCCACATGCCTTCCGGTCTTATTCCTTCGGGTTTACAATGGATATGGGGTGTGTGATTGGAGCTGTGTGTGGTGCAGCGCAAGCCACCCATGGTCCCTCTGTAGGCGCAGGCTTCCTGTGGCTGGCCACAGTGACAGGCAAATCCGAAACCGCCAACCATATATTTGCAGAAAGACGTGTTGTCTGACGGTGGTTTGCAATTTTGGTAAGATTGTCCCTTAGTAAACTGAAGTGAATACTTCGCGCTTTCACACCACGCGTACTTACATGCAATAGAAACTGCGTTGGGGATACCCAAAAACGGTTGGGTTAAGTTTCTGGCCGACGCTTTTAATTAATTAGATCCTATAATATTGTAGGGGCGCGTATTTCAGTTCACACGTAAATGCCCCGGAAGCAGCAGGAGATCGGGACTAACGCGGAGGCTGGGAACGGAAATCGTCAACTTAGCTAGTGGCCTACCATACAAGCCGGGAATGGGTCGTCAGCGACAAACGATACCGCGGCCACGCCGAGAAGAACAAGAGGCGACATGAAAGAGAGCCCGATTTTCCAAAGAGATATGCTTTTATCTACAACCTCAGGAATCGGCCCGACCAGAGCAACACAGCCCCGAGCAAGCAAGTCGAGAGCTTTGGTACGAATCCAGTCTGGATAGGCTGCGACGCAAGGGAGCAGAAATGTGGGCGGAAAACGGCACATTCAATGTCCACGTCGGATCAGCCTAATGGCGCTTAGTGGACACCACTTCACTCGGCGGAACGCGGTGCGTCCTAAGTGGGAAACGCGGCTATATTTGTGTGTGTGCGTGGGACATGTGTGTGAACCTCTGAGCGTGCAATAACCAGCGTTCTCCCCTACCGTGTCGTTCTTGAAACAATATCTGCACCGGGAGTACGGTGCTCAAGCAATGCTAGCTCGCTTGTGACAATGTATGTGATATGGTTAATTCATGAGTGCCATAAGAGATCCAGCATGGCGTGTATACAGAGCAAGTCCCAGTCCAGACAACTAGAACCACAACGTGGCGCACCGCAATCACTGTAACACTTGGCTGTGAAGGAAACTGAATAAACTACGGCATATGGTGGATATGTTTGAGCCTACTACAAGCTCCTGTAAAAACATGTGAACAGCCTCCTAGAAATGAAGTGGCGTTCCTCTACTCATATGAGCAAACAGATACACTCAAACCGCTGGTGAGGCCGTCTACACTCCAAAGCAATCATGTGCTCTAATATTCCGACTCGCCACCAGTACGTGTGCCATATACGTCCCATTACCCCAAAACCTAGTAATTAAACACGTCACTTTTATTGCAGATACTGTTTGGTGGAAGCTGATATCATTGCACAGGGAGAGTTGGCAACATTCCCCCGAAACACCGCATGCGGTAGCTACGAAGAAAGTCAATTAAAGCCAAGACAATGCAAGATTTATATCCTTGAATGGATGCAATCTTGGCACTTTACAGAATCAGCTGCGAATGAAAAGATATCTGCAAATGCATAATTTTATAAATGTAAATAGAAATGGGAAAAGCTTACACTGGTGTTACTAGAGTAAAAGGACCTGCATTATTGAGGCTCAAGAGCAAATTGATAAACAGAATCGTTGGGTATTTCCCAACCGACAGGATACAGTATTATTAAGACGTCTTCAAAATTGGTTTTTAATGACCTGTAGGTTCGTGGCCAAAGGCAACAAATCACGAATCGTGCGCCGTGTCTAGACTTTATGTTCAAAATGTGGTGTGTAAGACGGTTTTTGTGGATTTGGAAGTACTTTGGACAAAACCGTTTTCAGAATGTTCATACAAGACTTACATATGTCCGCAGTAGATGAAGAAAAATGAAGTTCACTGAAAAGGCTACGGCGAAATTAAGACCCCGTCATTAACCCGATTCTTTCAAAGATGACTGAGCAAATAGCAGTTTCTTAGCCTGGGGAAGTATGGTATCATTACTCCGATTTTCAAGCGTGGTAGCTGTGCAGCAACTGATAATTACCATCCAGTGATTCCCATCCGGTACACTCAAAGATGACGGAGTTGAGCCTAGCTGTGGCATTAATAAGCTGGTTAGTATGGATCTAACATGATAGCGCCGCTGCAACATGGATTTCTTCCGCCTCAAACATGTACTACCCTCCTACTGATTGTGCGTTGCGCTCGGACCGAAAGAGCAGACAGTGGAGCCGGAACCAATACCATCTACTTCTCGACTTCTGTAAATCCTTTTACTGCTTAGATACCCGCATCTTCCTCTAAAAACTGCAAGCCTACGGAATTAGGAACGTCGTCCTTGGGTGGACTGAAAATTTTCATCTTCAGTGGAGGCTTCATTTTCGGGTTCAGAGCTCATTTTCTGGTCCCGTAGAAGTGCACCTCGCAGCTTCACAAAAGAAGTGTTGGGCCATGGTTATTCTTGGTATTTAGCAACGAATTTGCGCGTATCAGGAAGTTGAATTCCTTGCTTTTTGCCTTTGGCATCAAGACATAGTGGCGCTCCGTTGTCTGCAAAATCACGATCTGCTGCCACGAGAATTAGAGCCTTGATGGCTAAAGGCGGTTTTACTTCAGTTCAAAGCAGACAAATGTAAAAATATACATGTACGCCACAAGCCTACTAAGACGTAAGTGATTGAAGAGTAGATCTTGGAGACCTTATCATCGCAGTGAAGCCTTTGAGTGATGAAGCAAGGGGACGTTGGATGTTCGGAATAGTCCTTGAAAGTGTCAAAACCAAGAACCCACGTATGGCAATCTGGTGACTCGAACCATCTATATTCTCTCAAACACTCAAACTAAATAGGAAGCTACATACGGACTACGCGATTCAGATTTGACAACCCTGGGTGAAACGTGATCTGGCTACACTGGAGATCACACGGCGATGAGCATGAAAAATGTGAATCGTCTGCTCCATCTATCATACCACCTGCAACTGAAAGCCCTGGGAGTGTACAGCGGAATTTATCGCAGACTATAGAGTGAACACATTCTGGAGTATCAGAGGTTGTAAGACCCTAGGCACGTTTGTCGCCACCTGCTGAAAGCTGGTCG